AGGAGGGGGTGGGACACCGCCGCTCGTCTGCCGATTCCGCTCACTGATCATTACGACGCCGTCGCTCCCCTGGCCCGTCGAAGAGCCACGAGAGCTCGCATCGACTCTTTGCGGACTGCCCCAGAGCTCGGGTTGCGCATTTCCCATCCCAGGGCTAAGCGCAGATCTCGGTTGGATTTGTTGATTGCCTCCTCGTCGCACGCTCTCTCGCTCTCTCTCTCTCGTTGCAGTAATCGGTGGATGTGCTCCTTGTGCCAGCAGGTTCTGCCTGGAGCGAGGCTCTTTGTCTTCGCCTCGACTGTGTGCCCTTCCTCTGCCCTGGAGCCCGACCTCCCCATCCCCTGCGTCCTTTGTCCGATTCACTGGTGAGGGAATCGCTCCTGTTCTGAGGGCGTGCGAGGTTGGAGGCGTCAGGCTGCATGAGAGCCACTCCTTGCACGAGTGGGCTCGCTACGGATTGGAGTTCTGTGCTGCGTGCGGATTCACGGCCACGGCTGATGGCCGCCGGTTGGCCCGCCAGTGTGGGCCGCCCACCAGGAAGGGGAGAGAGAACATGTCTCGCCTTCGACGCGGGGTGTTCCCCTCGTATCGCGGACCGCCTAAAGCGGTCGCTGCGGCGGAGGCTTCTGTGCTTGCCTGCCGAACCCCTCCTGTCTCCGAGGGAACTCCCGTGCGTGTGGCTTTGGACGAGTATCTCCGATTATCTGTGCTCCCCGAGCCTGAGTTTGGTGGTTCTGCCGTCCCTGGCCCTGATGTCGAATTCATGTATCACCCTGATTTTGAGGTTGCCCCCATCACCCCAAATGGGGGTGTGGGGTGCTCGAGGGCAGGAGCGAGTGTGGAGGATGGGGGCGGCCCGTTTCCGTCGTCGCTGTCGTCGCGCGGCGTGTTGTCGGGAGAGCGGGCGGCTCCGCGCGCTGCCCCGTACCTGGTCCAAGACGACAGCGTGTACGGCAGCGAGGCCCCCGCACTTGCCTCCCCCTCTTCTGATTGAATGCACTTGCGTGCTCATCCCGCCCATTCCGCCCATTCCTCCTCCTCTTCCTCCTCTTCCTCCTCCTCCTCCTCCTCCTCCTCTTTCCTCCCTCCTCCTCCTATCTCACCCGCCTCCCTCCTCCCCCCTCCTCCTCCTCCGCCTTCCTCCTCATCCTCATCTTCCTCACCTAATCCTCATCCTCCTCCTCCTCCTCCTCCTCCTCCTCCTCCTCCTCCTCCTCCTCCTCCACATCTTCTTCCTTCCGTCGTTTCCCCCTCTTTCGGCCTCCTAAAAAATCCTCGTCGTCATTGCTGGATTCGCCTCGAAAGTTTGGTCAGTAGCGGTATCGGTACCTTCCGGTCTCCCCACCTGGGGACCCAGCGGGCGGTAAACATGGATCTGTTGGGGCCCCCGGGGGCTAAGTGAGAGAGAGAGAGAGAAAAAAAAAAAAAAAAAAAAAAAAAAAAAAAAAATGTATGTTGTGTACGCATGTGTACATATGCATCTGTGTCCACCTGCACCGCCCGCCGAAGTCTCCGAAAATAGATCCTCTAGGCGGTGGTTTGTCAAGCCAAGTAAACCGTGCATCCTATAGGACGCGTGGGCAGTAAAGAAGATGCGTGTAGAGCACCGTCAGAAGCCAACAAATTCGCAAATTTGCCGATCTAGGATTATATCCGACAAGTTGCGAGCAGACGCGCGCTGTAGAACCTCAGTTGGAAACTCGCGAAACAAAAGAATGCGGAATACCGAACAAGCGTCTCAGGCATCTACAATGAGGCGTCAAGTCGCGTCCGGTCCGATTTTAACAGCCACAATTGTTCCAGCTGTACAATGATTTGCTCAAGACGCAGCTGTTGTATAACACATATTTGCGCCGTATTCCCATCGAGGCTCGCACCCACAATTGTTGTAAATGTCTGAATGTTTTGTGGCTTTACCGATATTCCGTGTGAGTTCACGCGATGCTCTCCCGCCACAGGAGAGAAGCCTCACCGAATCGATTGTTTCACCGCCCAAGGTAAATCGTTTACCTGACCGAATCGATTGTTTCACCGGATGGTGGAGAAATCGTGTCTTGAGTCGAGATCTGCACATGTGCAGTCTTTTCCAAATTTAATTCAAGGCCCTACTTCCCTCCTCAGCAACGATCGGCCGCAACATATTCTGGAAGTTGTCCAAGTACCTTGAAACCAACAGCGTGTCGTCGGCATACAAAATGTCGCGAATCACGACGAACAACGGTTCAGGCTCCAACTCTACATGTCCAGAAACGTCATGCAACATAAAACTCTGCAGCAGAGTGACAAGATACGGTGATAGGGGACATCTTTGTGCTATCCCAGCCCGCTTCTGTCTCCCCGAGAAATACCCACTGTGGTCCACGATCGTAAGAAAAACCTCGCGTTGTAGATCGAGCTGATCATTTTGACAATTGCTGCCGGGAGCCTATACCGAACAAGTGCATCACACATGCAGTCGGGCTTCACCCTGTCGAACGCATTTGCCCAATCCAAATACAATAACATTAGCTTGATCCCAACGTTATTGTCGACGTGTGCTGCATCTTTCATACGCCTGGCCAGCATAAGAACATCCTGCGTGCAGCGACCCCGGCGGAATCCAAACTAGGAGTTTCTCATCCTTTACTCTGTTCCTCAATGTATGAGCCTATGAGGTAATAGTGAAGCCCAGACTTTATATCCTACCGACGGTTGCGAAATAGGCCTGTAGTTTTGAGGTAACACAACGTTCCCATTTTGGACCATAGAACTACGTTTGCTTTCCTTCACGAATGTGGGATAGCCTTCTGGCCCCAGCACTTTTGACATAAATCGAACCATATATCGCAAGCGGCGGCGTCAGACGCTAGGAGTTTCCAAAAGTCTGGGGGTACTCCATATGGTCCTGCTGCTTTCCTTCGTTTTATACTGCGTAGTACTTGCCAGTTCTTTATCAGTAAAACTAGCAGCGTCAATTGCGAGTGTCTCTCCAAGGCGCGTCTGGTGCGTCGGCAGGTCTCCAGCGATTTTGTATTCCCACTGGGCCCGTTCAAAATAATATGCCATAACGTCGGCCCGGTCCGCTGTGTCAGATAATGTGAATAATAAATCTCTGACTCGGATTTGGGAGGTCGCCAACTACCCAGACCTCCTCGTGACGGGGAAAAGCCACGACGAAAGGTTTTGGCCGCTTTCGGCCCGGACCCCCGAGACAGTCAAAAATCAGCTCAGGATGAAAAGCTGAGGGCGGATGGCGGGATCGAAGCCCTCCTGGTCCTGCTCATCCTCCTCCTGCTCCTCCTCCTCATCCTCCTCCTCATTATCATTATCATCCTCGTCCTCATCCTCCTGCTGCCTCTCTCCCTCCCTCCCCTGCTTCCTCCTCCTCCACCTCCTCCTCCTCCGCATCTTTCTCCTTGTCATCTCCCCTGTCCCTGTCCCTCACTCATGATTATCTCCTGCTCCTGCTCGTCCTCCCTCCCTCCATCCCTCCATCGTTATCCTGCTCACCTCGACAGCCCCATCTCTACCAGGCGGCTCGGCAGAGAGCTGTGCGCTTGAAGTGGGCACTGCGCGCGTCCCACAAGCTCCGCAAGCGCACATCGAACCTAACCGAACCGTCTAGCATGTCCGAAAGGTTGCACTAGTACTGCTGCTGCGGATTGGCAACCACAGCCAATGCCTGTCCGCTCAGGTGGCATTTGCTGAGAGCCGCTTGCGTGGAACTGGACTTGACCCAAATCATTCATCACAGACAGCAGATGGATATTGCAACCAAGTGAAAACCGATATCCCAACACACACGATGCACACTGGATGAATCGCGCGGATGATATCCGCCACCGTGCCGCTGGGCACGGAGTGAGCGTGTCCTCAGGTCCTGGACCCAACCATCTAAGCCTCAGTCCTCACTCCTGAGGAGTTATGGCTGGGTTCGGAGCCCCTCGGCCCAAATCTCCCAGGACGTGACGGCCCAAGAGGCCTCCAAGACGCCTGAGGAGGCCTCCAAGAGGCCTCCCAAGAAGGCTCCAAGGGGCAAAAATCCATGATTTGCCTTAGGTGTTTGAAGGATGTTAGCGTTCTCGACGTCTCGGCTTCCAGCCACTCCAAGACAGCCCCAGGCACCCCCAAAAGACGGCCGAAAGCCCCAAGACGGCCCAAGAGGCGCCCAAGACGTCCCAAGACAGCCCTCAGACGGCCCCACAAGGGGCCCAAGAGAGGAAACACGAACCGAGAGTCCGAGCCTTCCGCCCCAAGAGGCCCCCAGGAGACCCCAAGAGGCGCCCAGGAGACCCAAGAGGCCCCCAAGAGGCCCCAAGAGGCCCCCAAGAGGCCCAAAATAGGCTCCAAGAGACCCCACAGCAGCCCCCAAGAGGCCTCCTCCAAGAGGCCTCCGAGAAGCACCCCACGAGATCCCAACGAACATCCAATGGGTTTAATACCCAAACCCAGGCACGGTGGCTTGATGGGCCGAAGTCCGTTAGATACCAGTTCGGAGGAACTGGGGCATAAAGACCGCTATGATCGAACAAAAATTGAAGGACCCGTGCTCTGCTCCGTTCGAGCCTGGCTGGCGGTCACAGCTACCGACGACGCCAACGACAGCTGTGGCGACAGCCTGCCGCCCTTCGATTTTCAGGGCAGGCGATCTAGGATGATTGGCCAGAAGATCGCTGCTAGGTGGGCCGCATGCTAACCAACGTATAGCCCGTCTCGGAGCCGGCCATGGCCATGGTGGAGAGGCCGCCGATGTCGCTGTCGGCTAGGCACACCTCGGATTTGGCGGCATCGCCTGCTATCCTCTGCACTGCTCTCCTCTCCCACGTCGGAACCCTTTTCTCCTTCGGAGGCTCTTGCACACGACTCGGGGCAACCGCCGTGGCAGCGGACGTAGCAGCACGAAGGAGAGGAGAGCGCAGAAGCAGCAGTAAGCGGGCGCAATAGCAACAGCAAACCGAAAGGAAGACACGCGAATGAACAGAAGACAAGCGGCGCGGTGACGAACCGATGGCACGCAAGGACAATTGCAGATCCGACAGAGCAGGCAAGATCAGCGTGCCAAACACACACACACGCGCGCGCATTTTTGCAATGGCGGCCTCGAGCGCAGCGACGAGGCGGAGAAAGTCCCCAGGCAACTGGTGCGCGCGCGCGCGGCCAGCCCCTCTGAAAATACATACACACACTGACAAGCACGACGCGGCAGCGGCGGCGGTGGCATCAGTACTAGAAGCGGTGGCGGTGGCTGTGGCGACAGCAGCGGCAGTGCAGTGCAATGGCGCGGCACCGGCGACTGTGGCAGCGGTGGTAGCAACGCTGGGGGCAGCGGCGTTCGCGACCTGCGGCAGCAGCGGCGGCAGCTGGCCGGCCGCCGTTGCAGATCTCAAGAAGGGGGGGCGGCGCTGACCATCAGGCCCGGCCCGAGCACGCTCAGCAATCGCGTGACCTGCTGGGCACGAGCGGCGTCCCCGTGCTACTCCTTCTATTCCTTGCGCTCCTTCTGCTGCTGCTGCTGCTGCTGCTGCTCCTCCCCTGCCTACACCTCCTGCTCCCGCCCAGTCGTCGTCGTCGTCGTCGCCATCATCATCATCATCATCATCATCATCATCATCATCATCATCATCATCATCATCAGTATGACCAGCATTATGATCATCATCATCATCATCATCATCAGCATCACCATCATCATCACCATCATCACCATCACGACTACCACCACCACCACCACCACCACCATCATCATCATCATCATCATCACCATCACTATCACCACCACCACCACCACCATCATCATCATCATCAGCAGCATCAGTATCAGCATCATCATCCTCATCAGCATCAGCATCACCATCAGAATCAGCAGCAGCATCATCATCACCATCATCACCATCGTAATCAGCATCAGCATCAGCATCAGCATCATCATCACCATCATCACCACCATCACAACCACCACCCCCACCACCGTCATCATCAGCACCATCATCATCATCATCATCATCATCATCATCATCATCGTCATCGTCATCGTCATCGTCATCGTCATCATCGACGTCATGATCATCATCATCAGCAGCATCATCATCAGCATCGCCATCAGCATCAGCATCATCTTCATCAGCGTCATCATCATCAAGACCACCACGAGCACATCATCAACATCATTATCATCGTCATCACCATAACCATCAACCAATATCATCATATCGTCGTCATCCTTATCCTCATACTCATCGTCCTCATCGTCCTCATCGTCATCATCGTCCTCATCATCATCTGCAGCATCACTATTACCACAACCGCATTCACCATTACCATCATCATCCTGATCCTCATCCTCATCAGAATCATCATAAGCATCAGTAGCATCATCATCAACATCATCAGCACCATCACCATCAGCAACAGCATCATCACCACCACCATCATCATCGTCGTCAACATCATCGTCAGCATAAGAATCCAAAGCGTCGCCATCATAATGATAAACAGAATCATCACCCAATCGCATCATCCTCGTCATTATGGTCATCTGCAGCATCATCATCACCACCACAACCACAATCACCATCATCGCCAGCATCAGCATCGTCCTCATCCGCATCCTCCTCCAAATCAGCATCACAACCACCACAAGCTTCTTCAGCATTATCAGCATCAGCAGCATATTCATCATCGTCATCACCATCGTCATCAGCATCATCATCAGCAGCATCGTCATAATCATCATCAGCAGCGGCATCATCAGCATCATCATCGTCATCATCATCAGCATCATCAGTAGCAGCATCATCACCACCACCGGCATCATCAACATCATGAGAATCAGCATCAGCGTCATCAGCATCATCAGCATCATCAGCATCAGCAACAGCATCATGATCCGTAGCATTATCATCATCATCATCACCATCATCATCAGCAGCAGCATCATAATCAGCAGCATCATCATCCTCGTCATAATCGTCAGCATCGTCAGTATCCTCATCATCAGCATCGTCATCATCATCATCATCAGCATCAGCAGCATCGTCGTCGTCGGCCGCATCATCAGCATCATCATCATCATCATCATCATCATCATCATCATCAGTTTCATCATCAGTGTTACCATCATTAGTATCATCGACATCACCTGCATCGTTAGCATTAATCGTCACTGCCATCGTCATCAGCAGCAGCATCAGTAGCATCATCAGCGTTAATGTCATCCTGATCGTATCATCGCCTGCATCATCGTAATCACAAGGATCGGCATCATCAAGATGGTGACAGTCGCATCATCAGCAGCAATAGCATCATCATCAGAATCGCCGTCATCACCATCGTCGCCATCATTATCGCAACCACACCTTAATCAGAATAATCAGCATCATAGTCGTCGTTGTCGTCGTCATCATCCTCATCATCATCGGCAGCAGCGGCAGCAGCAACACCAGCATCAGCATCATCATAATTGATATCAGCAGCATCGTCACCACCATCACCACCACCATCACCATCATCACATCATCACCATCGTCATCACCATCATCGTCATCATCACCATCATCATCATCACCAGCAGCATCATCATAATCCCGCCTCCTCCTCCTCCTCCGCCTCCTCCTCGTACTCCTCCACCCCCTTCCTCCTCCTCCTCCTCCTCCTCCTCCTCGCCCACACCCCTTTACTCCTCCTCCTCCTCCTCCTCCTCGTCATCATCATCATCAGCATCAGCATCAGCATCAGCATCATCATCGTCATCATCATCATCGTCATCATCATCGTCATCATCATCATTTTCATTATCATCCTCCTCCTTCCATTCCTCCCTCATCCGCGTACGTACTCGGGGAGCGAGGCAGCGAAGCCGTCGACACCTCCCGTGCGCGCCTGGGCAGCAAAAGGCTTCTTCTCATCCTTGCCCTCCCGGATGTGCGAGGCGAGCAGCGCCTGCAGGCTACGGAGGGCGAGGGGAGCAGCGGTCACATAGTAGATGGACTTGGCAGGCGCCGCATGCTGGCAAAGAGGGGGGGATGGGGAGGAGGGGGAGGGGGAGGGGGAGCGGGAGGGGGAGGGGGGGGCGGAGGAGGAGGAGGAGGAGGAGGAGGAGGAGGAGGAGGAGGAGGAGGAGGAGGAGGAGGAGGATGGGGGGGGCGTAGGACCTGCTGCTGGCGGTAAGGATTGCGAGGGCCATGGCCACCGATGATGAGTGCAAGGGCGGCCATTGCTGGCTGGGGGCCAGAGCAAAGACCACCGCAGCCAGCGTTCCGTCCGACCCACCCCACCCCGAAAACGACACCCTGGCATTCGAAACGCGTTTGCATCCTCGTATGGTGTCGGGCCGCGTCGCCCTGCATCATGATCATCCATCCCTGCTGCCCTCACCGTCGCACCACGTTCGCCGTCACCACCGTTCTCATCGTCTCGATCATGTCCACCACCACCGCTGTCCTCGTCACCGTCGTTGGCGCATCGTCGCCGCCCTCCTCATCTCCGTCACCCCTCGTCGACACCATCAGCCACCACGTCCGCCGTCGTGGCCGCCGCCCGCGCAGAAGAGGGGCCCACGGCCGCCCTCGGCGCCCTCTCCTGGCGGGGACTCCACTGACGGGCACTCTGGCCGCCGACCCAGCGAGCCCACCTTCCCCGATGCGGGCAGCGCTCGGCAGTGCCCGGCGGTGGCCCCAGAGAGGCGACGTGTGCCTGGTGCTCAGGGCGCCTGCTGGCGAGTGGTATTCCTTGCGGCGCCTGCGACGCCCGCGCGCCCCTCCCCCCCCCCCCCCCCCCCCCCCCCCGCCCCGCCCGCTTGTCCGAGGACACCGGCTACGAGGCAGATAATTCTCTGAACATCAGCATGTCGCCCCTCCAGATCAGCGAATCCAGTCGGTGTACAAAAGACACTCCCATATAGAGAGAGAGAGAGAGAGCGCACAGGACGTTTCGTCGGATGCGCCGAAAAGGGGGGGGACGAAGACAGGGTTAGCGCATGATTGCCCGAAGCATGTGCGCGGACGAAGGGGGGGAACGTATCGACAAATTACCCCAGTGCGACCCTACCTAGGAGTTGGAGCCCCTAGGAAAGCAGCATTAGTAGTAGCAGTAAAGCTAAGCTAAATCTAAGTTTAAGTTAAGTAAAAGCTAATATAAAGCTAATCTAAAGCTAAGCTGAAGATCAGCTAAAGCTAAGCTAAAGCTAAGCTAACGCTAAGCTGAAGCTAAGCTGAAGCTAAGCTAAAGCTGAGCTAAAGCTAAGCTATAGCTAAGCTGAAGCTAAGGTAAAGCTAAGCTAAAGCTAAGCTGAAGCTAAGCTAAAGCTAAGGTAAAGCTAAGCTAAAGCTAAAGCTAAAGCTAAAGCTGAAGCTAAAGTTTAGCTAAATCTAAGGTAAAGCGAAGCTAAAGCTAAGCTAACGTTAAGCTAAAGATAAGCTAAAGCTAAGCTAAAGCAGAGCTAAAGCTAAGATAAAGCAAAGTTAAAGCCAAGCTAAAGCTAAGCTAAAGCTAAAGCTAAGCTAAAGCTAAGGTATAGCTAAGCTAAAGCTAAAGCTAAAGTTCCCAGGGGACTGGGGGAACCTCTCCCAAGGTAACTGGGGGAACCGCGGGGCGGATGCCCGGGGAACCGCCCGGGCAATTTCCACTGCCCGGTCCCTTTAAGCAAAGAGAGTAAGAACCCTTCTAGGCAGAGCCTAGGTAGGGAATTACAAAGACCATGAAATTCTCTAGATTTCATGCCCTTGGCCATCCGATCCGCACAAACAGGCGTTTTTGGGCGTCGCGGACACGCGCGCCGCGGCGTGGCGCAGGGCAAGCCAAAAGAGAAACGCGCGGACCCGGCCAGCCCACACAGAGTGGAGTCGCACGCACGCACGCACGCACGCACGCACGCACGCACACACACACACACACACACACACGCGCGCTCACACGACACACACGACACGACACACGACACACGACACACACACACACACACACACACACACACGCACACACACACACAAACACACACACACACACGAGACACACGAGACACACGACACACACACACACACACACATACACACACACACACACACACACACACACACGCGCACACACACACACACGCGCGCGCGCGTCGCGGTCACGCGCGCAGCGGCGCAGCCATGGGCAGGTCGAAGAAGAGGCACGCGTGAGGGGCCCGGATCCCTCGGCGCGGAGATGCCGGATGCGCCGAGTCGACCGCAGCACTCGTGAGAGGGGCAGCCGCGAGGGGAGCACAGGGAGAGAAGGGAGAAACTGAAGGGGCCCCAGGACAAACAAAGAAATACACACAAATGAAAAGATTCCCCCTATTTTCCCATATGTTTGGGGGTTTTCGTCTTCCCCCCCACTTCCCACAGTTTCCCAATATTTTCTGGGGAATCAACGATTAATTGTGTCTGTGTGTTTTTCCCCCTCCTGAGAAACACGGGCACTGCGGCAGTGCGTGGGGAGCAAAGAGGAGGCGGAGTAAACGGCCCGCAGCGGCGGTGCACTCAGAGGGCGAGGAAGCAGACAGCGACGGAGCCCTGTGGGCAGAGGGGCACAGGGGAGAGACAGAAAAGCGACCGCAGGCGGGGCAGGAGGGGGGATGCAAAGAGCAGAAGCAGGTGACCGCGTCGGCGGGGGGGGCGGATCCCGCAAGGGCGCCGAACGAGGGGAGCCCCAAGGGAGCGGGACAACGACGCACACGCGCACAGATTGGTTTGGGCGACCGCAGCCTCGCGCGCGCCGCGACGAGGCGGATGAAATCCCCAAGGTGACTAAACTGGCCGCGCGCGGCCGGCCCCCTCAGAGGATGGGGCAGGGATCCGAACGGGATCGACCATGCCATGCGCATACACGGGCATGGGCAGCGAGGGCAACGGGGTGGCAGGCCAGTGTGGGAGGCCTGGAAATGGGCACCAACACCAACACAGAGGGCTGCCTCCAGGGGGGAGGTGGTCCTGGATTTCGGTGTTGGTGGCAATAGTTCAGCCGCCTTGGAAGCCAGAATATTACCACCATCACCGAGATCGGGATCTTCTTCCCTCGGTGGAGGCACACCGCCGATCTTGGTGTTGGTGTCAACCTCTAGGCCTGCGAATCGACCATGCCATGCGCATACACGGGCATGGGCAGCGAGGGCAGCAGGGTGGCAGGCCAGTGGGTGCGCACTGCGGCCAAGCGGCCGAAACGAGACGACGCGTAAGGTTGGCACCAGTAACTTGCAGCGCAGCGAGGTCAGAGCGGGCACAGCTGGGCTGGACGACCGGCAACCCGAGTGGGCCCGTGAGAGGGCGGGAGCGACTCAATGTACAATCTCAAGTCAGCGGCGCAGGAGGTCCTTAGCGCGGGCAGCGAATCGAGGTGCGAATTGCGATCGAGCGCCGTCGAAATCACAGCGAACGAGACGTCGAGCACTGGAATCAAACGATGGGCGGTGGACTAGATGGAGGCCCTGTAAACCCAAAGAGAGAGCGTGCAGCGGCCAGAAAGCTGGAGAGCAGGCTCAACTCAACGTGAACTGAAGCGCAAGCAGTCTGGTGCTTGATGGCGGCGACTGAATCATGAGTCAAACGACGTTGGACAAGGAAGCGCGCAACAATGCACACACACACACACACACACACACACACACACACACGCTTTCTGGCGGTCGCGGCCTCGCGCGCAGCGTCAAAGTGTAGAAAATCATCGAGCAGGCGTGCGCACGCGGGGGCTGCGACACAGCGCACAGGACCCGTATGGCTGGACCAGGCACTGGCATGCCGGGCATGCGACACGATGGCGCAGCGGGCGGACACGGCAAGGCCCCGAGAAGAGGGGGGTCAGCACGACGACCGACGAGAGACACAAGGACGGCCAAGACCAGGACGGCAACACGAAGCTGCAGATTGACAAGCTACCAGTCCACCCCAGCCCGACCCGAAGACCCGAATTTTTCGGGTTGGGGGGGGTACGGGCTTGATGTGCGGTTTTGCAGTTTTCCCCGACACCCCCCCCCACACTGGGAATGGAGGGCAAATTGGGGCCGTCGGGTTCGGTTGGGATGGTTTGGTGGGTGGTGATATTTGGGGAGGGAGGCGGAGAGGACAGCCACGGCAAGGCAGAGCGCGACACTGCGGGCAGCCGAGAGCGGCTGGGCATGGGGCGACGGAGAGAAAAGAACAGGGAGACAGCGCTGTGCAACTATAATGCACCGAGGAAGCGGCGAAGGCGGGGCCCCGCCCAAAGAGAGGGGGGGGCCGAGTGAAGCGCGGCGCGAACTGGGGGCGAACCGCCATTTCGCAAGCCAGCCCCAGTGCCCGTGCCAAGTCAGGCGGGACTGGCGCGCGTGCGGAAGCAAGCCAACGCCCAGAGGCGACGCCTCGGTGGGCGCGCCGGCCGAGGCAGGTCGCGCGACTGCCTGCGCTTGCCCGAGCTCGCCTCGTCGCCCGAGGACGGAGGCGCGGGCGGCGGTTCCCACGTAAGGGGGACGCTCGCGATGAAGGAGCTGACCTGGTCGGCGGAGCAGGCATGGGGGTCCGAGAGGGCAAAACCATACAAATCTTCAGGAGGGAAAGAAACACACAGACACAATTCATCGTCGATTCCCCAGAACATGTGGGGAAATATGGGAGGTGGGGGGAAGACAAAAAAACCCAAAATATGAAAAATATGGGGAATCTTTTTATTTGTGTGTATCTATTTGTGTGTCCTGGGGCCCCCTCGACTCTGGGCGCTCCGTTCTCGCATGCCCGACCTCGGGGCGCAGCACCCCAACGAGGGGTCCAAGCAGCGCAGGCCCGCTGTCCCAGGGTCGAGCCCCGCCAGGCGGGAGCGACCCGCCGGCAGCCAGGACACCAGGGGCACGCATGGCGAAAGGGGCCCTGGGACACAGAAATAAATACACACAAATAAAAAGATTCCCTATACTTTCCCATACTTTCTGGGTTTTCGTCTTCCCCCCC